CGGAACCGTGACTTTTGCTCCTTTCTCTTTTGCTCCAATCTTTTTTTTTTACTACTATTTCTATTGGGTTTCATCTCTAGCCTACCCCAACTTGTTTGGGACTAAAAGACTTTGTTGTTGTTGTTGTTGTATACTTAACACCTCACGAAAACCAGAACTACATAGAACAATATGGCAGTGCAACAAAAAAAATAAAAAAAAAACTCAAAGCTAGAACTCCCATTGTACAAAAACACTCTCCACGGGTCATATTTACAGAGAATTCACTCTCCTCAGCGATCTCCGACAGATCGACAAAATTGTGTGTGCTCGAAAGGTATAATTATTCTCATTGATCCCGCACATAAAACAAATCAAAAATACTTTTGGTTCGTAATTAAGTGTTGTTGGCAATCGCGCGTCAATAAATTCGTATTAGAAAGAGGGCCTGATTGATATTTTTAATGAATCTACCTTGCAAAAACTAGATCCAGAGATATCCAACTCTAATCACGCTCAAAGCCAAACTAAACTTTAAGCCAACCTCAATATCTTTAATATTATCAACATAATTAAATAATATAAATATGATTCCTACACATCACACAAACTTTACATCACACCAAATTTTAACTAACAATCGCTTCACATCATCTATTTTCTACTTTCATGTCAAATCAACCTTAACTATTTTTAAATATATTAATATAATTTAAAATTTCACCAACCATTAATTACTAGTACAACGCCCGTGTATTACACGAGTGCTTGCTAATATTTTCTTTAAAATCTAAAATTAATGAGAAAAAGTAGTTGAAAATTTAAGAGAGAGTTCTTTAAAAATCCCTACACCCTAAATGAACTTCCAAGTCAGTCCCTCTATATAATTATTTTCTATTTCACTACCTACCCCCTTAATCAAGTTCCACTTAAATCCCTCCCATTAAAATAAATCACAAAGAAATTGAAATGTGACATCATCCCACTATCTACTAATTTTGACATATTATTTTATTATTTTTGTTTACCTAAAAGTAACTTCTTCCCCAATCTTCATCCCCACCCTCCTCTTCTCTTCTCCCGCGTTTTTCTTCTTCATCTCGGCAGCAGTTTTTTATTTATTTATTTATTTTTTTTTTCTTGCAGCTTCATCTCGCTGGAGAATAGAACCGAACCTTGGGGCTTCTTCAGGAGGGCAACAAATCCGGCGATATTTGGCTTTTTTCCGGCGAAAAAATTCTTTTTCTCTGTCCGAAAATTCTTCTTTTTCCGGCAAGATTGTGCCTTTTTCCGGCAAAAAATTGAAGTAGTAGGTAATGTATCTATTACATGAGAAGTTTGGAGTCCAAAAATCATCTTTAATTCATGTATTTTGTTTGATTTGTGAAAGACTGAATGTTGAATATTGTTGTTTATATTTACCCTAAAATAAATAAAGTGATCATATT